ATGGTTGGATGCTCAGCGCGCTATCGACTCACAGGTAGGCGCTTCTTATCGTAGTAAACGCCCGCTGTCTCTCTGAGTACTCTTCCATGCGCCCCCAGATATTAACAAAACTCCAACTATTTTCTCTAGATAGTAGTACTGGGCAGACTGGAAAGCATTCTGAGGGGCGCGGAATCGGAAGACCAATCCGGACTTATTGCGCTGCTGCGAAACTTCAGTGAGGCTTCTCTCCTGCCCGCGAGACAAAGATTGCCTACAAGCGGTCTCATCTACGCCTCTGAAGAGGAAGTGGTCAGCATCGCAAAGCTCGCCAAAATTGCACAGGATAAGGTTTGGAGCAGGGTCTTGTTGTTTCTTCCCAATAAATTTTTTAAATCGACTGTTCCGTACAATAGAGATCCCATGAATCTGAGTGCTGCATTGGTGTCAGGTGACTTTTTGTTCATAAGTTTTCTCACCCTAATTCCCAGCTCCACCGGTTTTTTTCAGTTCTCAGGCTCCATCAGTGGGGAACTACAAGGCCTAAAAGACTTGTCAAGACAACTCAAGAAAGTTTCCGATCTCATCAACTCCCAATCATCCGTTTACGAAATAGAGAATTATGCAAAGCTCAAGGAGGCTTACCGACTTCTGACTTATTTGGTCTCCTTGAAAACACAAAAACTGCAGTCCGAACTTCTGAAGCTTCTGTCCTCACAATTCACGTAAACTCAAATGGAAGGATCTCCACCAAATTTACCTTTTGATAAAACCATATTTTTCTGGAACTTTTTGTGAATACATACTTGTAGCTCAACTTCGTCAGTTATACTCCTTTCTCCTAGCCTGACTGTTTAGATGCTGATGGCTGCAATTCCAATTCGGAGTCAAACACCCTGGGAACCCGTGTCCCCTAACTCTTTGGATAGACCCTCACGACATGTATTGCTCTTGGAAACGCATCGCAGTCGAGACAGAAAAATCAGACCATGCGAGAGCATCATAAATGGTGAAGGGTATTTCCAGATTTAGCGCAACATCCCCCTTTCGGTCGAGTATCATGGAGCACTTCCTACTGATAGGTCGTAGGATAGAGGTAAATTTGCTCAAACAACTTGCCATAGGTGAATTCGGTAGCTTCTCAAACACCGTCCACTTCTGGTAGTTCATCCGCCGCAAACAGGGAGCACCACAATCATTCTAGATAGGGTGTATTGGTGATTTATGCTTGAATCTAATTAATGTAGAGCGGACTCGTGCTGCATTTACGGCACGCGGTAGCAAAACGAAATCTGACGACGATTTCCACCTTGTACCTCGCATCATGGCCGGCGCAGGTACGGTGACTGACGTGTAGATTGGTCTACAGTAGACCTGAACAGCGCCTACGACACTCTCTCTTATTACCCACCCGCTCACCTGAGCCCCGTCTCAAGAAGACAGGAGGCGATATCTGGCGCACTGAGAATTTTAAACAACCCGTCTGCGTCCGTGCACAAAGGACCAGGGTTTCACAGAGCCATTGGGGAACTTAATCCAAACTAGGTGGTAGCTTCATAGAGGCTACATTAAGGAGTCATTGCAGCCTGACTCTCCGTCCTAAGGGTAGGACCAAGCTATCCAGTCATCTGTCAGCCATCCAAGCTACGGCTTCTAGCGCACCGTGATAGTTCAGAAGCGCGTCAGATTGCTCATAGTGAGGAAGATGCGTTAAGTGCCGTGGGGACGGAGTCCCGGATTCGATCTGTCCCTCCCCTGTCCGGATATCACTCATCTGGTGCGAGGATAGTGCGCAGTGGCCGACAGCTAGACGGCCCGTCTGCGCGTGCCACACGCGACGTAGCCTCCGCACAGCGCGGGTTTCTCCCATAAAGGCGTGGGATGCACGGATCTCATGCACGAATGCCAAAAATGCCATGTGGTTATGCATTTGAGAGCAGCAAATTAATGGCTTTGACAGGGAAAATGTGAAATATGTGGAATTCCCCAATGTGTACTTTCAAACCACGGACATACTCGGGATCAAAACCGTCGAAACAAATTGTACTAGAAGCAGAATCCGCTAAAATGACCCTTCGTAAGTAGATTGACAAGCTGTTTTGGTCGGGTATGTGAATGTTGATCCCCCGTATTACAGGTGGCCTCGGCCTAAATCCCAGAAGGGTTGGAATCACAGCCAGGAGGATTAGGATTATGTTTATTAGGGTTAGGGGGTTTGGACAAGTGTCGTTACGCCCATAACCAATCCGTATGGTGTGGGAGATGGTCTTGACATGTCCTTTAGACTACCGGTGGAAAGCGCAGCGCAGGGACTAACTGCAGAGGAGGGAGTCATGGAGATTTATCGACGGTAGAGGAATTTAACGGCAAGCGAGTGGATGTCAGGAGTTGGGAAGGGGGGACACGGGCCGTCTCCAGCGACATGCGGTCGAACCATTCCCATCCTGGATCCCCGCCTTCAGTCCACGTAAACAACTCAGTCAGTTCCGTGACGCCTCCCCCACTCTCACTTGGGACCATGCTCTCGCGGCGCCGGACGTGTGCCCGGCTGCCAGCAGGTCTCAGTCTGTTCTCCAAGTAATATCGAAGCAAGCGTATATGCTTCGGTCAGGAGATACCGAAAAGTCAATAAGTAATGCTACTTAAATATAGGGAGTACAGGTTGATACAGGGGGAAAATTTGTTAGTTTCTGATACCGTGGTGGTACATATCCCTGTACTGGTCAAGCTTCCTCTTAAATGAGTCCATGGATGAGGACATGACGACGTCCACAGGCAGGGCATTCCATGCCTTTACCATTATGTGGCTGAATAAGGATCTCCTTGCGTCCAGTCTCGCCCCTGTCACACGTAGTTTCAGAAAATGCCCTCACAAGCTAATAGTGGTGGCCAGCTCAAAGAAGTCGCCGGATGCGAGGCAGCAGTCCTGGCCCCGAAGCATTCGAAACGTTTGAATTAAGTCGCCACGTAGTTGTCTGTAGTCCAGGGGAAAGAGGTCAAGATTGGACAGTCTAGTTTCGTAAGGTAGGTTTTTATGACCTCTGACAAGCTTGGTTGCCCGTCGTTGGACTTTTTCGAGGGTGGTACGATGTTTGACAGACCAGGGTCTCCAGGCCTGAATAACAAATTCTAACTGTGGGCGCAGAAAACATCCCGAAGACCTTGCAAAAGCATTTTTCGTCGAACTTGGCAAATTCCCGCTTGATGAAATCGAAGCTGGACATTGCGGATTTCGCTGCTTTCGAGCAGTGGAATGATGGCTTTAGTGAAGATGTTATCCACACACCAAGATCCTTCTGAACCTCTACCAGTGGCAGCGGTGCATGATATAGATATTACGTCTTCCGGTGTGCAGAGCTGGTTCTGCCAATTCTCGGAACGCTGCATTTGGTAACATTAAATGGGAGGAGCCAGGGGCCTAACCATTGTTCGAGTCGGTCCAATCATTCTATACAGTATGAGATATTTTATCAACTGGTGTCCAATTCCTTTGTTTCGAGACCAGGCCTGAAGGTCGTATTGGCTAGAATCACCCCACGGCTTAAGCCGCCGCGACAAGACGTCCACGGTTGTCACATTACTACTCGCGGCTTCTGGGCAGAAAAGTGTTCCTCTCGTTTTTAATAGCTCCCGGTAATATAAAACAGTGCGCGAAATGTGGTCCTTCAGTCTTCAGGAAAACCCGGTTAGATCGTGGTTCGCTGTTCAGTGAAGGGCAAAATTTCTCACATTCGCAAATTTGATAGATCTAGGTTGATAATTTGAGAAATAAGAAGGGCCCATCGTAACAGGTTTATTGGAATGCTGACGTTTCAGAGACCTTGATCGGCTCACCACTGTGAAAGTGTAAAATGCCCTGATCGAACAGAAACAGAAGTAACGTGCCGTGCTGGACAGCTCCGTGCTGATCGATTTTTCGCTTCTCGCGCTGTCTCGGCATTTCGGAGGATGTCTGGCGGGCTCTATGATTGCATGCGTTGGGTCGACACCTCGTCGGGGAGAGGTGGTTAAGCCTGTCGGATTTGACCGGTCTGGCGGCTCTTTTTATTCATCGTCGAGTGAGCTCGTCTTCGGGCTGTCTGCGCGGCCTCCGCCTCACGGTGCGAGAACTGGCCACCTAGATGCACCCTCAGTCGCGACACTGGCACCTGCTGGACTATGTCGTCGTCCGGAGACGAGACCGGCGGGATGTCCTGGTGACAAAGGCGATCCCGCGTGTCGACAGGTGGACCAAACATCGTCTCGTCATCTTCAAGATGCAGGTTCGCCTTCAGCCTCGCAGGGCACCTCAAGGTAAGTGACCCCCAGACAAGCTAAATAGTGCTTTGTTGTCTTTGCCTGCTCACCATCTCCATTTCAGCAATGAACTAGCTCAAAGCCCAACCAACCTTCCATTCGTCGCCGCTGCTGCCGACGAGAACGCCTCCGTGGAGAATCGGTAACGGTAGGGAGAAGGCCCTAAGCATCTGTGACTAGCCTCAGAATGCTGTTATACGTGAAAGGTGGTAATAGGGGTTTTACGAGCAGTAATGGGTAACACACGACCTACTTAAACAAGCATAGTAGGCAGTTTTTGTATGCAACAGATGGTTGTGGATCTCCACACTACCATTACCCTTCACGGTTTTAAGTGGTTGGTTTCTCAAGATATACTGTCATGCAGTCAAGTATCTTCTTCGTAACGCTGACGTTGTGTGCATTACTACACATTTTTCAACATTTAATTTCATGTACCAGAGCTCGCTCCACGACTGCAAACTTTTCACAGCTAGTGACCTATCTAGTGAAAGGTCACGAACTGCGAATTAAAATCGCTGTAGCGCACGAGCCGTCCACCTTGCATCCATGAAAGTTATACTGTGTTAAAGATGTAACCGAGCTTTAAAACAGGGCACAGTTTGGTCTATACAGTATTATTTATTGACTAAGGAATAATTTATTTTACGGAAAACTACCAAATCAAAAAAGCGACTTTATGACAGGTCATTCATTTAAGGCCTAATTTAACTGTTACCAGAGAAGGAAATTATCATAAAACGACAAAATGATGAAAAACAGTAAAAAAGCGACGTATTGGTACTTTGTCGATTGTCTTTTAGCTTTTAAAGTTGCTGTAAGCGGCGAGAGCATAGAGACTACTAAGTTGTCTATAGTGGTTTGGTCGATATAATTATTAAACACAAAATCCGACCTTCGTTGCAATTAAAAGATGTCTTTTTGCCTTGTCCCAATTCCTGCAAAAGGACTTTCGATTGGATTCAGATCCGAACTATCAACGAAAATAAAAATGCTTTGAAGACCGCGGGCGGAAAAGGGCTGGCTACGGTCTAAAATATTATATTATAGTCGTAAGCTGAATTGGAATCATAGCTCCTCTGAGCGGTGAACAGGGGCATTATCCTGCAGCATCACGGTGTCCATTCGGCGTCGATGAATGCCGGTGTAACTGAAGGTATCCTTTGCGATGCCGATGAACACCTTGTTATTTATCGTATCCGTTGTTGAATGCCAGATTGGTCGCTCTCTAAATTTGATGGCCATCCAAACCGCCTGGTGTCAACAGTTATTGACAGTTGGTGTCGATACAGTGTGCTCTTACGGGAAGTTCTCCCCACATATGACCACCTGGACCGACCGCGAAATCTTGTCTAAAAATAGGACCTCATCACATAAGTAAATGCTCTTCCAGAATGAATGTCTTTGATCAATATATTTTTGAACAAAAAGAAAACACTGTCAAATAAGTCTCCTACTTAAAGATCGCTTTGCCATGGCGTTTTGTGAATGAAGGTCGAGTTCGTTCATTCTTTTCCTAATTATGCGCAAAGAAAACATTGATAGGTGGTTCCTGTGAAAAGCCTTAAGGGTCATATAATGATACTTTTAGTGTTCGAACAATAAAATCGTCTTAATTGTCGTCCGTTTTTGTCCACCTTTCGTAACTCTTGGCCCTGTTTTATTATTAGTAATCCTCTAATATTGAAAATACTAGCTATCGACTCATGGGGCAGACCTTTGGCCGCCAATTTTCGAATGCGCTCAAAGTCAGCTTCCGATACGAATTGCCGTTTTGGTCTACCCTACTTAGCTCTAGGCACTGTTTTACTACAAAGGATCCTCCACAGAGTGGTCTGGCTAATACTGAAAATACTAGCTAGCGACTCACACGGCAGCCCTTCGGCTACCACTTTTAGTATGCTTTCAAAGTGGAATCCCGATAGGAATTTTTTTCGACACCTTTGTTTCATGGCGTGGCACAGAAAAGTGGCAGTATGTAGCGCGTAATCCATATATGCGTGTTAACGCCTACTAATTCCTGTCGTTGTAAAACAAATACTGTCAATCGAGTTTATTACTGCATCTAAAGATCTAAAAAATTACAATTTTGCTAGAAAGAATTTGCAAATGGCAAATTACTTTTCGATTCATAAAAAGAATGGGTTTCTACATACCTGCCGTCGCCTGATTTTCATGAACTCAGTCTTAATTTCCATTTCCGGAATGGATTTCCTTGGTACTTTTCTTGGCCATATGCGTTTCTTCATAACGCAAGGCACGCAAATAAGAAGTCTTAGTAGGTGATGCTTATTAACATAGGAACTTACGTGGATATCCGGAATCATCAAATTCAGTCCAGTCTTGGCTTATTCCCCTTCAATAAAACAGACCTAACATGAATTGTTCTTTTAAACAGGCTTTCTGGGATTCCAGTCAGTTCTAAAAACAAAACTCGTCGCATCATATATATGCCGTACCACAAACTCTAATACCGACCTCGACATTTCGTGAGTCAGGTCACCTACTGCATATCCTCTTGCAATATCTGGGATTCTCTTTCATCTCTTATCACCCTCATCAGCTTAGAATCATCTGCAAAGAGCGCTATATCGGACTTCACTTCCCGTACTAGGTCATTTGCATAGATAATAAATAGGAGCAGCCTAAGAACTGGTCCTTGTGGGACCACTTTTAACGGACACTCATTATGAGCACTAGCCGCCCACAGTGACCCTTTGTCTACCATCATTTATGAAATCTTGAATTCATTCCAGAAGTTCCCCTCTAATCCCAAGTCTGACATATTTTGGATGAGGCGCCTTTGTGGAACTCAATTAAAGGCCTTGCTGAAGTCAAAGGAAATAATATCAACTGAGTGTCCCTGCTGCACTCCTTTTGACCAACGTTTGAACGATGTAAGGTTAGTGAGGCAGGTCCTCTTCTCCTAGAAACCATGCTGAGCTGAGTTGATCTGGCAACGGAATGCATCAAGCGATATAATCAATTTTTTAAATTATTTCCTCCCTCAGTTTGTAGCAGATGCATGCCAGACTGACCGGTCAATAGTTGGTGGGATATAGCCGTGATCCTCCCTTATGGCTGGGTACAGTATTGTCCCATTCTCCACGTATCGGGAGGCCTAACAGCTCCTAGCTACCTTCCGAAGATGATACACTGCTTCGAATAATTCTTCAGCTGGTTGGCGTAAGAGTACATCTGGAATCTCGCCTGGTTGGGATGACTTAGCCGGACTCAATTTCTTCAATTCGGCCGAAACTAACTGCGGCGTAACTAATGCTGTGCTTATAGGTGAGCTGGTGGGGAAACTGTGGCAGAGATCTCGGCTGCAATGGAGGTTCTGTCGTATAAGCATTTTAGGAAAATTCGAAAAGAAGGTCGGCTTCTTGGAGGCCATCGCTTACAGTCTGGTCGTTTTCGTTTTTGAAGGTTGTGAGGTGGTCACGATTCTTGGTATTACTTTTGATGTAAGAATAGAATGCTTTGAGTTTTTGCGATGCCTCTCTGAGAGCTTCAATTCGTAAGAGGAGTGTGCTTCACGGAGAAGTCTTTTGCATAAATTGCCTGGTCGTCTGAAGTCGTTAAGTTTTTCTGGGCTATCTGTTTGTAGACAGATTTCCCACACGCTGTGTTTCTTTCGAATCCCCTTCTTTACCGCGGTCGTCAGCCATTTCGGTCTGCTTCTGATCGGATGTTCCTTGAGGAGACAGTACAATTCAATCATGTCTTCCATGCCTAATTTTGAAGGTTCGTCAACAGTCATTGACACCTCCTTGTAAAGCTTCCGTCCACAGTGTGTGCTTAATCGACGATTTCATTTCCTTAATGTTACCCCACCAGACGTTTCTTGACAATTTTTAGCTTCGTTCGGGGACAGTTACAAGCTTTGATTCAAACATTAATGTCGTGTCACCACAAGAATCTGCGGGCGGACCTAAAATTATTTCACCAACAATTTCTTCAATCTTTGTGAATACTAGATCCAAGCAACTAGATCTTTGGCCTTCATGCATTCGTGTGGTGTGTCAGACATGTTAGAAAAGGAACTTATCAAGTGCTATGTCTAATAGCATTTGGTCGAATCCTTGGCCATGGGCCTTAACTGTCATAAGGTCCCAGTTTACAAGCGGAGCATGGAAATCTACAATTAGCATGTTTTGTCTCTGACCGTCCTCGCGTAGTCGAGTGCGCAAGGCTTAATCTTTTTCTACAGGTTGGTTTGGAGGCCTACATACAACAGTGACAGTAACACTCAGATCTAGGTACCAGAACAAGACACTGTAGCAATTCCAAATCATGTCTGTTTGCATATTCCTCGAAGGTTTGTATGCGACCGTATTACTGATATGTAGGGCAACTCCACCACTCCTTCTTTTGGTTCGGTCTCGCCTTAGCACTTGATAGACATCTATTTGTGCTTCGCGGTCTGAAATCTTGGGTGAGTCACGTTTCATTTAAGGCAGTAACATCAGGAGGAATTTCAGCCACAGTGATTTTCAGCTCATCGAGTCTATTCGAGGGACTTTGTCTATTTCAATATTATGACTTAATTGGGTGGGACTGACTTATGTGGCCCCCTAAACAGGACATAGGAAAAGGTACGTCCCGCCCAAGTAATAAAGGTGGGTCTGCGCACAATTCTGGAAAGAGCAAAATTTACTCCTATTTTGACCCCAATAATCACCTTACTATAAAATCAAACCGTTGCCCTAATCTTAATCCTAGCCCTACCTTAAATATTAACTCTGCAGTTAGCCTCAAAGTTGATCCTGACTACCCTGCGGTTAATTTTAAAGCTAGCCTTAAACATAGTTCTTAACACAGCCCTGGCCCTAACATTCAGCCTTACACTAATTTCACTGTTAGTTGGTTCAAAGCTACCCGCATTGCGAGCGGCCCCTATTTTTATGTCCTGTTTAGGGAGCCATATAAGTCAGTTCTACCTTTAATTTTGTGTATGTCTTTGTCTTACTTTAATTGCTCGGCCGTGTGGCTTCCATTAGCATGACGGGAGTCCTCCACAGAAGTGGTTTCTGTTGCCGAACAATCCCTCCGTTCATCCTTATCAGCCCCTTCTTTCCTTGTTCTTTCATGGTCTTAAACTCCGCTGCCAGTACTCGCCATTTCCTTCTCTCGTACAGAGTAG